ACACACACACAGACATACTCATACACACACACACACAGACATATTCATACACACACACACACATAGTCATACACACACGTACATACTCATACACACACACACACACACAATCACTCATACACACACAGACATACTCATACACAAACACAGACATACTCATACACACACACACACAATAACTCATACACACCCAGACATACTCATACACACACACACACACAGACATATTCGTACACACACACACACAGACATAGTCATACACACACGTACATACTCATACACAAACACACACACACACACACACACACAGACATACTCATACACACACATTTAGGCTGATAGGAGACTGATTATTCTCCTCCTCCCACACGGCACTCGGTGAATGCTGGGAGGAAGTGACCAGCTGTCACTTCCACCCGGCATCCTGACATCATCACAGGAGGCCCAGTTGTACTCTCAAAGCGGCTGGGTCCCTGAAAATCCATCGCCATTTGGTGGCCCTTGGAGCTTTGGCCACTCGGTGAGCCTCCACATCGCGTAGCTAGCGGTAGTAGTTCAACATGGCCCGCATGCAACACGGCGGCGGGAGGGCTATAGGGGCCACTGCTTTGGGCCCCCTAAGACTAACTAGGCCCAGGGCAGCTGCTCCTTTTGCCCTGTGTTAAAGACGGCCCTGACGAACACACACAGACATACTCATACACACACACACACAGACAGACTCATACACACACACACATGCAGACATAGTCATACACACACACAGACTAACTCATACACACACAGACAGACAGACTCATACACACACACACAGACATACTCATACATACACACACACACACACAAAGACATACTCACACAGACATACTCACACACACACTCATACATACTTATACACACACACACACATACTTATACACACACACAGACATACTGATGCACACACACACAGACATACTCATACACACAGACATACTCATACACATGCACACACACACATACTCATACACACACACACATACTCATACACTCACACAGACATACACACACACAGACTCATACACACACAGACATATCCATACATACATACACAGACATACACACAGACATACTCACACACATACAAACATACTTATAAACACACACACAGACATACTCATGCACACACAAACACAGACATACTCATACAAACATACACACAGATATACTCACTCTCTCACAGACACAGACATACTCACACACACACACACACATACTCATACACACACAGACATACTCATTCATACACACACACACACACTCACTTATACACACACAGACATGCTCATACACACACACATACATACATACATACACACAGACATATTCATACACACACACAGACATACTCATACACACACACACACCGACATACTCATCGCGTGGCTAGCGGTAGTAGTTCAACATGGCCCGCATGCAACACGGTGGCGGGAGGGCTATAGGGGCCGCTGCTTTGGGCCCCCTAAGACTAACTAGGCCCATGGCAGCTGCTCCTTTTGCCCTGTGTTAAAGACGGCCCTGACGAACACACACAGACATACTCATACACACAGACATACTCATACACACACACACTGACATACTCATACACTTACACACACACACACACACACAGACATACTCATGCACACACACATACATACTCATACACACATTGACATACTCATACACACATAGACATACTCATATACACACACATACAAACACACACACACTCACTCATACACACACAGACATACTCATACATACACACACATACATACATACTCATATACACACACAGAATTACTCATACACACACAGTCATACTCCCACTTACACACATACACACACACACATAGACACACAACTTTAAAACACACACACAGAGACATACTAATACAAACACACACACACACACACAGACATATTCACACACACATACTCATACACACATATAGCATACTCTACACTTTTAAAGCCAGTAGACAGGGTCTGAGTAAGGAGACAGCGCTGTAGTGGGGGACTATGGGCTGTAGTGGGGGACAGGGGGTGTAGTGGAGGTTTTGAGCTGTAATTGGGGGTTAGGAAATGTAGTGGGAGGATAGGGGCTGATGTAGGTTGATGGCTACAATTTGGGCCTGTGGTGTGGGTAATATGGGTTTCAATTGGGGGAGAGGAGCTGTAGTGGGGATGTTATGGGGGCTGTGGTGGGGGCATGGGACTGAGGAAGGGGGACAGGAGCTGAGGGGGGGCAGGAGCTGAGGAAGGGGACAGGGGCTAAAGATGGGGTACAAGG